ACTCAACAACCACAAGGGAGAGAGACATGGGGAATACGCAGAGTACATTTCTTACACATTGATGTTTTAATAGCGTGCTTATGCAAATATGAGTAGATCTAGAGTTGCTCAAATTCGAGGCACGAGCTAGACTCGGCAACAACCAGGGAGAGAGAGATGGGGTTTTAGTGAGCATATTTGGAAAAGAATACGCCGTATACATTCATTACATGTCGATGTTTTAATGGAGTGCTTATGCAAAGATGAGTAGATCTAAACCTGCTCAAATTTAAGGCACAAGCTAGACTCGACAACCACAAGAGAGAGAGACATGGGGTTTTAGTGGGCATATTTTCTAATATGAAAAGAATTCGCAATGTACATTTATTACATGTCGATGTTTTAATGGAGTGCTTATGCAAATATGAGTAGATCTAGACTTACTCAAATTCGAGGCACAAACTAAACTCGGTAACAACCTGGGAGAGAGAGATGGGGTTTTAGTGAGCATATTTGGAAAAGAATACGCATTATACATTTATTACGTGTCGATATTTTAATAGAGTGCTTATGCAAAAATGAGTAGATCTAGACCTGTTCAAATCTGAGGCACAAGCTAGACTCAACAACCACAAGGGAGAAAGACGTGGGGTATTAGAGGGCATATTTTATAATATCGAAAAGAATACGCAGTGTACATTTATTACGTGTCGATGTTTTAATGGAGTGCTAATGCAAATATGAGTAGATCTAGACTTGCTCATATTCGAGGCACAAGCTAGACTAGGCAACAACCAGGGAGAGAGTGATGGGGTTTTAGTGAGTATATTTGGAAAAGAATACGCAGTATATATTTATTACGTGTCGATGTTTTAATTGAGTGCTTATGCAAATATGAGTAAATCTAGACTTGCTCAAATCTGAGGCACAAGCCAGACTCAGCAACCACAAGGGAGAGAGACATGGGGTTTTAGTGGGTATATTTTTTAATATGGAAAAGAATACGCAATGTATATTTATTACATGTCGATGTTTTAATGGAGTGCTTATGCAAATATGAATAGATCTAGACTTGCTCATATTCGAGGCACAAGCAAGACTCAGCAACAACTAGGGAGAGAGAGATGGGGTTTTAGTGAGCATATCTGGAAGAGAATACGCAGTATACATTTATTACATATCGATGTTTTAATAGAGTGCTTATGCAAAGATGAGTATGTCTAGATCTGCTCAAATCTGAGGCACAAGCTAGACTAGACAATCACAAGGACGAGAGACATGGGGTATTAATGGGAATATTTTCTAATATAAAAAAGAATACGCAGTGTATATTTATTACGTGTCGATGTTTTAATGGAGTGCTTATGCAAATATGAGTAGATCTAGAAGTACTCAAATCCAAGGCACAAGCTAGATTCGGCAACCACCGGGGGGAGAGAGACGGGGTTTTAGTGAGCATATTTGGAAAAGAAAACGTAGTATACATTTATTAAGTGTCGATGTTTTAATGGAGTGCTTATGCAAAAATGAGTAGATCTAGACCTGCTCAAATCTTAGGCACAAGTCAGACTTGGCAATCACAAGGGAGAGAGACATGGGGTTCTAGTGGGCATATTTTCTAATATGGAAAAAAACACGCAGTATACATTCATTACATGTCTATGTTTTAATGGAGTGTTTATGCAAACATGAGTAGATCTAGACTTGCTCAAATTCGAGGCACAAGCTAGACTTGGCAACCATCGGGGAGAGAGAGATGGGGTTTTAGTGAGTATATTTGAAAAAGAATACGCAGTATACATTTATTACGTGTCGATATTTTAATGGAGTGCTTATGCAAAAATTAGTAGATCTAGACCTGTTCAAATTTGAGGCACAAGCTAGACTTGGCAACCACAAGGGAGAGAGACATGGGGTTTTAGTGGGCATATTTTCTAATATGGAAAAGAATACGCAGTATACATTTATTGCATGTCGATGTTTTAATAGAGTGCTTATGCAAATATGAGTAGATCTAGATGTGCTCAAATTTGAGATGCAAACTAGACTCGACAACCACCAGGAATAGAGAGATGGGGTTTTGGTGGGCATATTTGGAAAATAATACGCAGTATACATTTATTACGTGCTAATATTTTAATGGAGTGCTTATGCAAAGATGAGTAGCTGTAGACCTGCTCAAATCTAAGGCACAAGCCAGACTCGGCAACCACAAGGGAGAGAGACATTGGGTTTTAGTGGGAATATTTTCTACTGTGGAAAAGAATAAATGTATATTGATGTTTTAATGAATTGCTTATGCAATGATAGTATAAGCACATTGACTAATTCGTAAATAAGGTAAGAAGAGAACAAATGTCGTATAAGTCAATCACATTGTAAAAATGTGTGGGTTCCACTAATAAATACAAGGTTCCAATAGAATCTGCATTGTGATGATTCCGTCCATTACATCATTAGTAAACTAAATCTATATAATATTTTCTAGTTTTGTGTGAAATATGTGTAAAGCCACAAATAGGTGTCCATGGGGTTGAAACATAACTAGGCACCTAGGAATAAATCTCCTTTGTTCAAACCCACTTGTTAGCAGGGGTGAGCAAGATGGACCGCCCAAACCGGGACCGGACTGGACCGACCGGTTTGGTTCGGTTCTCGGAAATATCGATCTGGTTCCCGATTCCTAAAAGTGCAACCGGTTTCCGGGTGGTCCGGTTCCCGATTCTAGGGTGGGAACCGACCAACCGGACCGATAAATATATTTTTTTCTAATTTTTTTCATACATATAATATTTAATATATATATGAAAAAAATTTAATATTGGTCCCATTGGAATCGATTGTTCAATTTTTTCATATATTATAAATATTTTTCTAATTTTTTCTATGGCCTTATGGGATTAAATCAGAACTACAAAGGAAAGAATGGAACAATCGGTTCCCGATTCACAAATAATATTTAATATTTGTCCCATTGGAACCGGTCCGGTCCCCGATCCTAGAAAATGGGAACTAGTCCTCCCAATCCGGTTTCCGGCTCTTGAGTTGGACAGGACCGGACCAGACGGAAACCGCTCAACCCTACTTGTTAGGGCCCGATCATTTGGAGGATAAAAAGTTAATATTTTATCAATCATGTGCCTTTCTAGGTGAGGACTTTTAAATCTTGTACCAAATTGAATCCGTCTATATACTTACCGTTCAAGTTTACGAAATAGTTAAAAAGTAAGTTAAATATCAAATAAATGACCCAAATATGAAATAATTTACAACGACGGGCCGTTGTAATTGCAAGAGGACATGAGCAAGATTTAGTCCAAGTACTGGGCTTGATTTTCCGGCAATTAGACTTGGTCATTGGGCAGGCCTAGGTGGGATCGGGGCAGGTTCTGCTCGGGCTCGAACCTTTTGAGACCCAGCCAAGGCTTGAACTTGCGCTCCCCAGCCTACCCAACGGAGAAACATCGGGGGACGGGCCCGCCCATCGGGTCACCTTTTTATCTTTTAAAATTTCAGCTAAAAAATTTAAAGAAGTATGAAAAGTAGATGATAAATCATTTTAGGGTTTTGTGTTATTTTATTTTACGACTTTATCTATCAGTTTTATTCTATTTTTCTATCCTACGTTAGAAATTTGAGTTTATTTTATTCTGTTAGAGTTTATAAATTTTAAATGTCAAAGAAAAACTTACTAGTAAAATATAATTTGTTAATTTTCTAATAAATATATAGATGCACCGAGCCTTAAGGCCCTTACCCAGGCGTAGCTTGCCCACTAACCGGACCTAAATTTTTTGCTGGGGCTAAAAAATAATGGGCGGCCTGGCTGGTTGCCCACCCATTGATCAAGTCTACTAATAATCATGTAACATATATATTTACACCTATATTAATATTATTTGATGTTAATGGATGAAAAGTGATATTTTTCAATCGATAACACAAGAAGTAAAAACAATTGAGTAGTTATATATTGATTAGGACATTTTTCTTGTAGGCTTATTTATCTCGTAACTAAATATGCAAGTGTCTGTGAATTGTAACATAGTTGAGGTAAATATGATAATTCGTATATACTAACACCGCCGCAGGTGGAGGCGCTGGGACACATGGCCATTGGTGGGTTCGTCTCTCAGCTGCAGTTGGAACTCCATTTTAGAGAGCTTGTAGCAGGGAGTGCCAATCATTGCGTGGCCCATATACGCGGAGCAACAACTGAACGCCTTCATGATGGTGAAGGAACTAGGCTTAGCGGAGGAGCTGAGGCTGGACTACAAGGGGCACGGTGTTGGTGGCCATCTGGTGCCAGCAGAGGAGATAGAGAGGGTCGAATGCTTGATGGGCGGCGTGCCACAGCGACGAGGAAGAAGGTGAAGGAAATGAGGGAGGTGGCGAGGAACGCAGTGAAGGAAGGCGGGTCTTCATATGATTCTATTGGAAGGTTGATTCAAGACTTCATCAAGAGCAGTGAATAAAAAGCTCAACAAACAGTTAGCATTTGTCTTCAATTGTTTCCATCATGTATATGTCACTTTGATCTTGCTCTGTCCTTTATTTCCTGCCAGCAATGTGTCCTGCTCCTTTGTTCAACGAACATGCTTTACTAATTTGTCTGAAGTTTATGAAATTACCATTCGAGTTGGCAGGTGGTGGGCGTTGGACTTGATTCTAATCTCGCATTGCTCACTAGAAGAGTGAATTTTAGCAAGTCATTGTATCTGTTAGCTCGGTAACCATGATGAAGGAGCTGTTACTGACAATTTACTAAAGATAAGAGTTATGAGCTTCTCATGACTAGACTGATGATCTGGTGAGCTTTGTTTTAATTGATCGGATTCAAGCGAGACTCCTATTACATCAGTCCCTCTGCTTCTAGGTAGATGAACTTGCATTTTGCTGTTCCTCTATTAAATTCCTTATGAGGGGATGGATGACTTATGATGCATTGGATGAAACATCGAAATCACCCCTAGAAAAGAACCAGTAAGATGTTATTTATCTCCTGAAGCAAGCTCTTCTGAAGTTGAAAGAGAAAGGCGTTTATTTGGCTTAAGGATATAGAGATAGCAAACTCTTTGCCTCTCACATACATGAAGCAGTAGACTTGCATTTTACATTTACATTTAGACACTGGGAAGTAACTGAAAAGGAATCGGAAATGCAACAGGAGAAGTTAAATCCTCTTCCTAATCTTACATGCCATGCCTGGGAAACTTCTCTCTGACGGCACGTAACTCGGATAATGCATTCGTCATGTCCATGCGCTCAATTGGAAGTTTCACCGAGCAGAGGACTCCGATTCTCATTATGTCAGCAACGTTTTCCTCAAATCTTACCTTGTCGGCATCACTAATTTGGCCATCGCCCATCCCTGCAGGATACTCCGCAGATAGCAGTGAAGGGTCTAGGATCTTCAACAAGCTTTTGTGCTGAGCAGTCTTGACGAATTCATGGAGGGTCCATCCATCCGTGAACATAACATCAGTAGGCCTTATTCCAGTGAACATCTCGAGCAACAGTATCCCGAAGCTGTACACATCTCCCTCCAACGATGAAGAACCGCCGAGGCCATATTCTAGCAAGCAACATCGGCTTTGTCATGTCAAATGGGTACTTGGCTTTGGGAATCCATTTTCAACACTAGAATTCAGCATTTTGAATAAGCTATTAACTTTTACCCATACGATTAGAAAGCAGAAGGATTAACATACCTGGAGCTACATAGCCAATGGTTCCTTTCAACCCACTAGAGCTTGCTTGACATTGAGAAGCATCTAAGTTTGTGCTTCCGCGAAGAAATCGCGCTAGCCCAAAATCACACACTCGAGCTACCATGTCGTGATCAAGAAGAACGTTGCTTGGCTTTAGATCACCGTGTACGATGCTCGTCTGGCAATGGTGGTGAAGATATTCAATGGCAGAAGCCGCATCAATGGCAACGTCTAACCTCTGGCTAAGACTGAGCTTTGGCATGTCGACCTGATTTTCACTGGGGTGCAACCACCGTTCTAAACTACCATTTTGCATTAGGTCGTAGACTAGAGCCTTAAATTCTGCGCCAGTGAAATCGATGCTCGAGCAAACAGTGATGATGTTGACAAGATTTCGGTGGCGTATGTTTCTTAGCGCTTCACATTCTGCCAAGAAGCTCTTAAAAGCCCCCTTTTGTTTTAGGTTGAGCACTTTCACTGCCACCGGTCGATTTCCATCTAGCATTCCTCTATACACAGAGCCATGGCTCCCTTGGCCAATTAAATTAGATGGCGAGAACTCATCAGTCACTTGGCGGAGCTTTGCATAGGAGACCTTTCGGAAGCGCTCATCTGTTGGTAATGCAGTGCTAGGTCTCGTCGTAGATTTCCTCCTCCAGTACACAACAACAATGAAGCATGTCAACATGATTAAAAACGAGACAGTTACCGCAATAGATAATTTCAGTTTTGGAAGCTTCCTCCGCTTCTTCGTGTCCTGGACTTTGCATGCGGGAAGTCCAAGTTCCTTGATGCCCCCACATAGTTCTTTGTTTCCAATTATCGACATGTTCTTTGTATCTCTGAAAATCCCCTCCTGCGGTACCTCTCCTTCAAGGCTATTGAAGGACAGATCCAATACTTCGAGCACAGTAAAATTCTCGAAATAGATGGGAATTTGACCGGACAATCTGTTTGTCGAGAGATTGAGGTACAAAAGACCAATCAGGGTCCGTATAGAGGGCGGTATACTTCCTTCAAATAAATTGCCTGCCATGTTCAAGCTTAGCAGCATCAGACACTGGGACAAAGTGCTTGGTATTTCTCCAGTCAGCCTGTTGTCAGAGAGGTCGACATGCACAATTCGGCTCATGTTACCCACTTCAAGGGGTAATGGCCCCGTTAAGGAATTTCGAGCAACTCCGAAATAGGGGGCCAAAGAAGAAAGGCCGATGACCTCTTTGGGGATTGTACCGTTAAGGTTGTTATCTGACAGTGCTAGTCCTAGCAATTGTCGACACCATCCGAGACTTGGAGGAATATCACCTTCTAATTGATTGTTTCTAAGCTGCAGGTGAAGCAATTGGGTGAGGTTTCCAAGAGAGGAAGGAATTGCCCCTGAAATCCAATTACCCCAAAGCATAAGATAGGTCAAATTTTGGAGATTACCAATACCATGGGGAATCTCACCGCTGATGTTGTTGTCGTATAACGCCAAGACCTGTAGGCCATTCAGCTTCTCGATTTCTGGAGGGATATTACCTATGATCCGGTTTGATCCCAGGACTAAGATCTGAAGGGTATTCGTTAAATTGGCAATAGAAGCAGGTATTTCTCCTATGAATTTGTTGAAGCCGAAATCTAACGCTTTTAGTTTAGTGCAGTTGGTAAAATCGGTGAGGAAACTTAAGCCGTCAGGTCCTGTCTGTAATTGGTTATCGCTAAAACTAATCTTTGTAAGATTCCTCAAGTTTCCAAGATTGGCAGGCACACTCCCCGTAAAGCTATTAGAAGTGAGAACAAGCTCTTCAAGTCCAGTAGCGTTAGGCAGCGAATGCGGTGCTTGCCCTGAAAATCGATTGTCTGAAAGGTAAAGCCCCCGGAGATGTGGAAGATAGTTGCCAATTTCTGGTGGGATTTCACCGTGTAGGCTGTTGCCCGTTACATCAAGGTAGACAAGTGACGTAAGATTGTATATAGAAGAGGGGATCCGTCCTGTTAGATTCATATGATCTAAACTGAGGGTTTCTAATTTTGAGATGCTCCCGAGCTCGGCCGGAATTCGACCTCTTAGGTCATTTTTCCCCATACGTAACTCTGTAAGTGAAGATCCATTCCCCAACCAACTTGGAATTTCCCCAATAAGATCGTTCTCCGTGACCCCAAAAATTGTGAGTTCTCTCTCAACTAAATACCGAAACTCGTCAGGTATCCTCCCACTGAGACGATTGTACCGCCAGATCGAGGTACTGCATACCTACACAAGATGACAAATTTCGTGGTATCTCCCCTCCGAGTTCATTGTTGAAGAGGATGAGAGTCTTCAGTCTGAACAACCTCCCGAACTCTTCTGGAATGTTGCCTCGGAGCTGATTTGCCTCTAGATCAATACGCCTCAAGAAGGTGAGATTCCCTATGTTAGGAGGTATTGTGCCGACAAGCTTTTGATTTTTCAAGTCGAGTGCGATGACTCTTCCCATGTGGCGACGACTGCAAGAAACTCCTGGCCAGTTGCAGTGACTTACAGACTCATTCCAAGAACCCATGATCCCTTGAAAATCTTCTATCTTGTCCTTGAAGGCAAGCAATGCCACCTTGTCAGTTTCATTTCCGGGATAGGAAGCATGGGCAATACAAGTCTTGGAGTGACTTTGATGTAGGACGAGAACGAGGCTGATAAAAGCTGATACTAAATGCATTCTCGAGTTTGGCAAAGTTGCTTCCATGCTTGATCTGTTAAGAGCAAGCAGAAAGACCAGATGATGGTGTTATTAAGTTCTCCCAGCCAACTAGAAGCGTGAGATTGACCATTTAAATTTGGTGCATCCAAAGACCACAATTTAGTCCGCAAAAAAACTTGACTTTTCGTCAAGACCCATACATCCAAATAAGGTTAACTTTGTAAAATAATAATTGTGACAACCCTGTGTTGCGACCTACCCATCCCGATCGGTTAGGCCAAGAGGTATTTGTCGAAGAATGTGAACGTTAATTGATTCGTTTGAAAAACAAACCAAATAGTTCATTAATCCAAGGACCGAGGCAATCCCAAGCCTCATACCTCATGTGACAAGAACTGTCTAAACTAAGCATTCAATTGAAGTCGCCACTAGCCATGATCAAGGATTGGCTAAGAAGCCTAATCGAAACGCGGGAGTGTCGTCTCGATACGTGCGAAAATCAGAGATTCCAAAATTCGAGGACTTGATTATACTAGCGATCTAACTAGTGCCCTTTTGGTACCTAAACTTGAATGTTCGCAAACTAACGTATCGGGCAGCCTATCGAAAAACCTAACATTCCACCTAACCATTCTAAAAATAGAAAATAGCAATCAATGTATTAAAAGTGCGCAACCAAATAATCATACAGAAAATAAACAACCAACGACCTAGCATCGTCTCTAGAAAGGAAAAGGCAATCAAAAACCCTAAGGTAAAGCCCTAATGGCTTATCCAAATTTTTGGAAATTTTTTTTTTAAGGTTTTCTTAATTTTTACAAATTTTAAACTAAGTCTAGAATGAAACTAAACACTAAGATCTAGTGAAATTAAGCCAAAATTGATTTCTGGACATTTCCTAATTTTCTGGATTTTTTGGAATTTTTCTGAATTTTTTTAATTTTTTTGGATTTTTTAATTTTTCTGAATTTTTTAATGTTTTTTAATGTTTTTTTGGATTTTTAAACATTTTGGAATTTTTTTGGAATTTTTAATATTTTAATATTTTTATCAATAAAATAAAAATTCCGGACCGGGTCCCTGACCCGATCCGCCCGACTGCCTGACCCGGATTTCCGACCCGCCCGGGATCCCCCTTTTTTCTACTTCTTTTCTGATTAATTTTTTTTATTTTCCCTCTTTTCTTTTTTCTTTTTCTTTTGTTTCTTTTTTCTTTATTAATTTTCTTTACTTTATCTTCATCCCCTACGTGCTTTCTGCTCGTGCACGTCCTTCTTCCTTGGCCCTTCACCGAGAACTCTTCATGCCATCACCGGGAATTCGCCGGGAGCGCCCCACCGCCGACCGTCGGCTCGGGCCGCCAGCCCCGACGGCGGACGGTGGTCTTACGCCGCTGCCGTCTACCAACATCCCGGCGACCAAATCCGGCCACGGAAACGGCACCGACGAACAAAAACTCGATTTTCCGACCCTCAAACTTCTGACCCCAACAACAGACCTTAAGACAGCACAAACAAACATGAACGCACATCAAATGGAGATAAAGAGCGAACGGTTGCGCTCGAAACGGCGAGCATGCCTCCAGTGAGGGGAATGGATCTCCGGCGAGGGAATATACACACGCGGCCGACCCGGACAAAGTGTGAACCATGGCATAAAAACAACGGAAAAACACCGGGTTAGTCACCGCATGTCTAACCAAGCACAAATGAAGCATAAATCTAAGCTAACGAGAACATATTTTGGAGGTAATAGTCTCGGCCGTCATTCAGGCACTATGTCAAACAGGTAGTGTGCGAGTCTGGATACGCGTCTTAGGCTGAGATTTCAAGGCGGTTTTCGGCTTATGAGTGGTGTTTGAAGATTTCACAGCCGTGTTTTGCGATAAAATGGTCTCGGTTCGCGGTAAAACGTTAAAGAACAACACACATAGATATGGCGATTTAGGCTTAAAGGGCTTCTTTGAGGCATTTTAGCAAATACGTGAGAGGCGACTGAGAGATGGATCTTCTGGGCTGATTTTGACACGATTCATGGGTTCTATTCGACATACAAGAACACTTCTTTGAACGTACAACAAGCATTATCCTCCATTTATGGTGCCGGGCGACCACCGAATAGACTCGGTGTGCCCGGCACCCGAGAGGCAGGGGAGAGGGACCGAAAACAGGGGAAGACGAAGGAAGCCCACCTGTTCACGGCTGGCCGGAGTAGGGCGCGATGGCTGGGGGGTTCGGCGGCGGCTCGGGCGGCGCTCGGGCGAGCTGGTGAGACTCGGAACTCTCCGGTTCCTCTCAACTCTCTCTCGGTCTCCTCCTCTCGCTCTCTGTTCTTGCTTCTCTTCAGCCCCCACGAAACAGAAATCAAAAATAAACCCCCTGGTTCACGGTGGACCGAGGCAAGGCGTGCCGGCCGAAGATTCGGCGAGGACTCCGGCGAGAAAATGAAGCTCTGGTCTCCTGTCTCTCCTCTCGTTCTCTCTTTTAGCTCTCTCGAGCTCACTCTCCCTTTCAAAAAACTCCCCCGCCTCTGTTTTACCCCGTCTTTTTTTAGTACGTGCAGAACGTCCCCTTTTGGTGAATGGACTGTACGGTCAAAGAGAGAGCCCTTCATGTCAGTCAAAGAAAGAAAAACACTTCTTCTTTTTTTGTCATTTTGTCTTTCACTTCTCTTTTCCCTTGCTTTTGCTCTTCTCGTAGCTCCCTTCTGGACGTGCATTCCCTAAGAGAAAGCAGATGGCCTTCCCCTCTTTTGTCTTCTTCCGCTCTTCTTTCGAAGGAAATGTTCAGCTCCCCTTTTTTGTCCTTTTCCCTTTTTCTTCTTTTCTGTTATCGTGCAGAGGGAGAGCACTAAAGGGTAGCCTCCTGTCTATGGAGAAGATAGCATCCCTTTTGTCTTCTCTCCTTTTTTTTTTTTAAATTTTTTTTAGATTTTTCTAATGATTTTTTAAATAAAATAAAAAAAATGAAATAAATTAAAAGAAAATATATGTTTCACTAAATTTTATTAATGTAAATGCACCTAATATATATGTGCTATGTAATTTAATGAATTTTTTTTTGCTTAGGGATTAAAAATAAACCCCTAATTTTCTATGCATTTAAACTCTAAATGACTAGGTAAATTTTAGGTGTCAGCACCCTAATCCAATTTGATGCGTATACTATTTCTGAAGATTTTCTAGGGTGTCCAAACAAATAAACAACCGCAAGGCGAGCTTGGAACAAGAGTTTGCGAAACGTTTGATAAAAATACTATTAACTTTTTATCAAAGAGGAGTTAGAGAGCCCGTAATACTAATTTGAATAGCGAACTCAGAGTACAATGCTGTATTTCTTTTTTGCCATTGTCTATGGCCCCAAAATCCTCCATTTTCATATTTTTGACAACTTTTATGGTTAATTCTCAAGATTATGAGGGTTTTGCTGCTGGGTTCCTATTGCAAACACATCCGGCCATGAAGACCGCATATGGAGACTTAGGGTGCGCATGGAATGCATTCCGGAATAAAAATTCTACTCCGGAATGCATTCCGGAATAGAATGGCGTTTGTTAAAAAATTTCCGGAATGCAAAATGCGATTTTTGCATTCTTAAAAATGCGTTTGTTAAAAATACTTGATTCCAAAATGCATTCTTGATTTCGGAATGCATTTTTTATTCCAGAATGAGTTTTTGGCAAGAAAAAGAGAAGCTACAAAGTAGCTTCTTGATTCCGGATTGCATTCTCCCTATTTTTCTCATAAATTTTTTTTCAGAAAATGCATAAAAATTGAAAAATTCTAGAAAAAATCATAAAAATTTCCAGAAAATAAAAAAAAGTCAGATTTCGGGAAAATATGAAATTTGGTGAATTTTTTTTAAAAAATAAAAAAAAATCAAAAATTTCAAAACTTCACAGAATAGCTTAAAATACCCGTGGCCACCCACTTTGAGTGAAATTTAAATTTTTTGAGGTGCCCAAAAAAAAGAAAAATAATAATAAAATAAAAATTTTCAAAACTTCACAAAATGGCTTAAAATACCTGTGGCCACCCACTTTGAGTGAAATTTAAATTTTTTGAGGTGCCCAAAAAATAATAAAAATTTTTAAAACTTCACAGAGTGGCTTAGAATACCTGTGGCCACCCACTTTGAGTGAAATTTAAATTTTTTGAGGTGCCAAAAAAATAAAAAAATAAAAAATAAAAAAAATTCAAAACTTCACAAAATGGCTTAGAATACCTGTGGCCACCCACTTTGAGTGAAATTTAAATTTTTTTAGGTGCCCAAAAAAAATTTAAAAAAATCAAAAATTTCAAAACTTTACAGAATGGCTTCTAATACCTGTGGCCACCCACTTTGAGTAAAATTTAAATTTTTTTAGGTGCAAAAAAAAATCAACAGATCAAAACAGATTTCTGTTCCATAAATCAATTTCTAGAGCATAATTAGTCATGTTTTACCAAACAGATTTCTCCTCCAGAAATCAATTTCTGGCAAGAATTCCAGAAATCAATTTTTGGCAAGAATTTGATTTATGGAGCAGAATGGTTACCATTCACACCCTTATTTACCACTGACAGTATTGTTAAGAATAACCCTTTATTTTTTATGTTCATAGATAGAAACTTTCGTCATAGAGAGAGGCTTCTCCAATAAAAAGATCATTGAAAATAAATAATCTTATTGATTA